GTTTCTCAAATAATGTTTACTAGCTCAAAAGGTCTCTTCTTTCCTTAATTACATTGATATATCTTGGCCAACCTTTCATCTTTTTTTCTAACTGGGTTTTGTAGTTGCATGTTTTGAGGCAAGGAGCTTAACTTCTTCTACCCTAGCTTCCCTTATTGTAAGAAAGGGATATTCACTACTTTTCAGGATTGTTGTAAGACTTCAATATAAAAGTGATTAGAAAAACTTTTTTTTTTTTTTTTTGAGTTGGAGTCTCACCCTGTTGCCCAGGCAGGAGCCCAATAGCATGCTCATGGCTACCGCAGCCTCGACCTGCTGGGCTCAGGTGTTCCTTCTGCTTCAGCCTTCAAAGTAGCTGGAACTACAGGCCTGAGCCACCACTCCTGGCTAATTTTTTTATTGTAGATAGAAGGTCTTGCCAAGTTACCCAGGATTGTCTCTATACTCTGGACTCAGGCAGTACTCTGGCCTCTACTTCCACAAGTGCTGGAATTACAGGCTTGAGCCACTGCACCAGGCTCAGGAAAAACTTTTAAAATTGATTAGCACATAATTAATGGTGTTATTATTGTAGTTTTGTTTTATATCTGTGTTCATTCTCTTAGATTTTCTGACTTCTCTTCTACTTTCTACTTTATCTCTGTGATACTTCAGTTCAGTTCTGGTTTTTTCCCTATCACTATCTTTTCATCAATTGACATTAATTAACACTTATTTTTCTCAGTCCAAAATCTTTCTCAGGTGTCTAAAACTTAACACCTTACTTGTATCTTTCATCTTTTTCTCACTTACCCTGTTGCTACCAACAAACTCCCCAGTTTATTTTCAGTCTAATCTTTAAACTTTGATTCTTCCACTGTGCTTTCCAGGGATACAATTGTAAATAAAACTCTTTCACATTTTTCATATTGCTTATGTTACTTTTATATCTGTTTCTTTCTTTTTTTTTTTGAGTTGGCATCTCACTTTTTTGTCGCCCAGGCTGGAGTACGTTTATGGCCGCCGCAACCTTGACCTGGTGGGCTCAGGTGATCCTTCTGCCTCATCCTTCCAAGTAGCTGGAACTACAGGCGTACGCCACCATGCCCAGCTAATTTTTGTGATTTAACGTAGAGACAAGGTCTCACCAAGTTGCCCAGACTGGTCTCTAACCCCCAGGCAATCCTCTCACCTCAGCATACCAAAATGCTGGGCTTACAGGCTGAGCCACCACGTCCAGCCTATATCTGTTTCTTAAAATTTAGAAATAAGCATCAAGATTTGAGAGATGATTATTGGCCAGGTGCAGTGGCTTATGCCTATAATCCCAGCACTTTGGGAGTCCGAGGTGAGAGGATTGCCTGAGCCTATGGGTTCGAGACCTGCCTGGGCAACTTGGCAAGACACCTCTACAATAAATAAAAAAAAGTTAGCCAGACGTGGTGGCACATGCCTGTAGTTCCAGCTACTTGGAAGGCGGAGGCAGAAGGATCACCTGAGCTCAGCAAGTCAAAGCTGTGGTGGCTGTGAGCATGCCACTATGCTCCAGCCTGGGCAACAGAGTGAGACTCCAATCAAAAAAAAAAAAGAGAGAGAGATGGTTATTGCATGTATTCAGTTTTTAATGAAAGTGACATGGAGAGCCAGGCTCGGTGGCTCAGCCTGTAATCCCAGCATTTTGGGAGGCTGAGGTAAGTGGATTGCCTGAGCCTGCGGGTTCGAGACCCGCCTGGGCAACTTGGTGAGACCTCATCTCTACAGTAAATTAAAAAATTAGCCGGGCATGGTAGCACACGCTTGTAATTCCAGCTACTTGGAAGGCTGAGGCGGAAGGATCCCCGGAGCCCAGCAGGTCGAGGCTGCTGTGGCCGGGAGCAGCCACTGCCCTCCAGTCTGGGTGACAGAGTGAGAGTCCAACTCAAAAAAAAAACCACACACACACACAAAAAGAAAGTGGCATGGAGAATAAACTGTATTATAAAGAATACTTTCTGTGAATTGTTCATATTCATTTGCATTTGTTTGTTTAAGGACCAGGGGAATGGATTGCATTTCTTCCCATAAACTTGTTATAAGAAGTAAATATGAAGTGTTAAGTATGATGCCTGGCACATAGTAAGTGCTCCATAAATGTTAACTATTTACAAATGCCATTTTGAAGCAGAGCCAGCCTTTGTTTATTGACAGAGCAATAATTTAAAGAGCATTGTATGATGTATGATTCTCCTTTCCTAAGATCTGTCCATTATAGTTCCCTAAATTCCACTAATAAATATCCATTACTTTGAATTTAGATTTTTTTGCCTTTGGGGCCTTTTTGTTAATATGAAGAGTAATCTCTTGGAACAGAGGTAATAACTGGAAGGGACCTCTGGAATGGATTGCATTTCTTCCCATAAACTTGTTATAAGAAGTAAATATGAAGTGTTAAGTATGATGCCTGGCACATAGTAAGTGCTCCATAAATGTTAACTATTTACAAATGCCATTTTGAAGCAGAGCCAGCCTTTGTTTATTGACAGAGCAATAATTTAAAGAGCATTGTATGATGTATGATTCTCCTTTCCTAAGATCTGTCCATTATAGTTCCCTAAATTCCACTAATAAATATCCATTACTTTGAATTTAGATTTTTTTGCCTTTGGGGCCTTTTTGTTAATATGAAGAGTAATCTCTTGGAACAGAGGTAATAACTGGAAGGGACCTCTGGGGGGGCAGAGCTGGTAATGTTCTACTTCTTTTTTTTTTTAATTCACTTTATTTTTTAAATTTTTTTTTTATTTGTAGAGACGAGATCTCACTATGTTACCCAGGCTGATCTTGAACTCCTGGGCTCAAGCAATCCTCCTGCCTTGGCCTTCCCAAAGTGTTAGGATTACAGTCTTGAGCCACTGCACCCGGCCTCTTCTATTCCTTTATTTGGTTGGTGGTTACACAGACGTCACTTTGTGGAAAGTTCATCAGGCTTATGATTTATGTTCTTTTTTAAAAATTTTTTTATTTCAAAGATGTGGGGTACAGTTTAGGGTTAGGTATCCAAATGTTCATTATGCAGTTACCCTTGTTGATGAAGTATGCACCCCTTCCCCTGGCAGATTCCCACTACTGCCAATAAGATTTATATTTCTATTTTGCATGTATGCCTTCTTTTTTCTTTTTGCCCCCTTCCCCATCCAGTTGATTGTAAATGCCATATTTTACTAAAGAGTTAACTTTAAAAATAGGAGGCATGTGTCTGTAGTCCCAGCTACTCGGGAGGCTGAGGTGGAAGGTCAAGGCTATGGGGAGTCATGATCATGCCACTGCATTCCATCCTGGGGGACAGCACGAGACCTAACTCAAAAAAATAAATAGATATAAAAAAAATAAATAAATATAACATGAGAGATTATATATACAATTATCAGGGCTGGGCACGGTGGCTCATGCCTATAATCCCAGCACTTTGGGAAACTGAGGTGAAAGGATTGCCTGATCCCATGGGTTTGAGACCAGCTTGGGCAACTTGGTGAGATCTCATCTCTACAATAAATCAAAAAATTAGCCGGGCGTCATGACACGTGCCTGTAGTTCCAGCTACTTGGAAGGCGGAGGCGAAAGGATCACCTGAGCCCAGCAGGTCGAAGCTACAGTGACCGTGAGCGTGCCACTGCACTCCAGTCTGGGTGACAGAGTGAGACTCTAACTCAAAAAAAAAGAATTATTACTCACTGATATATGCTGATATGAATTATGTTTAAATGGCTTTGTGCTTGTTTAATGTGAAATATCTTAGTATCCTAAATTCCTTCTAGTTTTTTTTTTGAGTTGGAGTCTCACTCTGTCACCCAAGCTGGAATGCAGTGGCATGCTCATGGCCACCACAGCCTCGACCTGCTGAACGCAGGTGATCCTTCTGCCTCAACCTTCTAAATAGCTGGAACTATAGACGGGCACCACCACACTCGACTAATTTTTGATTTATTATAGAGATGAGGTCTTGCCAAGTTGCCCAGGCTAGTCTCAAACCCATGAGCTCAGTCAGTCCTCTCACCTTGGCCTCCCAAAGTGCTGGGATTATAGGCGTGAGCCACCACACCCAGCTTGGTGATAGTTTTTTTGTTGTTGTTGTTTGAGTCAGAGTTTCACTCTGTCGCCAAGACTGGAGTGCAGTGGCACACTCACATCCACTGCAGTCTTGACTTGCTGGGCTCAGGTGATCCTTCCGCCTTCCAAGTAGCTGGTACCACAGACACATGCCACCATGCCTAGCTAATTTTTCTTGATTTATGGTAGACATAAGGTCTCTCCATGTTGCCCAGGCTGGTCTTGAACCCATGGGCTCAGGCAATCCTCTCACCTCGGCCTCCCAAAGTGCTGGGATTATAGTCATGAGCCACTGTGACCAGCCAGGTGATAGATTTTAATGACATCATTGAAACAATGATTTAACTCAAAATTAAGTACTTCTTAAGTGATATCTAAATAAATAAATAATTTATATATCCCTTAGTGGTGTACGTATCTATGAAAAACTCAAAACTATTGAGCTACAAAGATTACTTTTTCTTAAGTTTCCTCATAAATTGTACTGTATTTGCTGAGTATTCATTCGTTTTATTCTGCTAGGATGGCAGGCAAGTTGAAGTAGGCACCAAAGGTGGTTTAAGAAAAATTTATGATAGTAAAGGACTGGAAACTGAAAATGATTTACCTCTATTCGTTTTTCAACGACTTGTGTGACATTATTTAGCTTTTAGTAGTAGAACACATTAGTGAAATTCATCTTACTCTGAACAGGATTCTAAGGGAACATGATTTTGAAGAATACTCTTTTAGAGTATAGCTCTTTCTTTTTTCTTGAATTATGCAGACAGAAATAAACTGGATTGTTATTCTGTTTGTTCATTTGTTTTATGAATATTCTTCTAAACAATTTTAATGACTAGCTTTTGAAAAATGATTTATCACTCTGAAACACTCATATTTTGTATCCAGGTATTGTTCCATTTTATAAATATTGGTATTATATCTATTTCTAGATGACTTCAAACCTGCTTCTATTGACACTTCTTGTGAAGGAGAGCTTGAGGTTGGCAAAGGTGAACAGGTGACAATAACTCTACCAAATATAGAAGTGAGTATTTTTATATATTTAGACTAAAGTGTTTTTTGCAGTATTCCCACTAAATTTAAATTTAAATAATTGCACAATTCATGTAGCAATGGTCAACTAAAGTAATTAATAAGCATAGCAAAGCAAAAAACCATATTTTAAACTATTTTATGCAAAAAAGTCTTAAAATACTTTAATCTGTTTAATGGTTCCAAGAACTATCATAGCAAATGATTTGAAAAAATTGGAGTCTGAACAAATGTTTATTAAATTCTTATTATGAGCCAGATTTTATACTCTGACCTAGAGATAATAACATACCCTTTGCCTTCTAGTCCTAATCTTTTATAGCAGACAGACACATACATATCTAGCGTTATAAGTTGGAGCATATCCAAAATTTTGTGTAACCACGTAAGTGGAATCTTCCTGGTAGAATCTTGAAAAGTTTCACAAAACAAGCAATATTTGATCTGAGCCTTTAAAGGACAAGTAAGATTGTATAAGGTAGAGAGGGTGTAGAATATTGTAGGCAAACAGAACAGTATATGAAAGGCTCTGATGCTGAAAGAACAAAGGATTGTGGAATAAATGATTCTATGTAGCAAATCACAATATAGTAAAAAACAGATTGACAGGAATAGAGACTGGAAAGTTAGGTTGGGATCAAATTATGAAGGATATTTGATAGTAGCATTTTAATGTAGAATTTGGACCTTATACCACAGGCATTAGAGAACCATCAGAAGTTTTTAAACAGAGATGTAATATGGTTAGGTTTGTGTTTTTGGAAGTATTTAAGTGATAGTTTGGGGAATGGATTGAAAAAGAAGTAAACTTTTTCAGGGAGTCCCTAACTAAAAGTTTTGTTCACTTTTTAAATTTCCAGATATATCCAAGTAACACTACCAAATACTACTTGCATAAAAATACAAGTTCTTGGCCGGGCTCGGTGGCTCAGCCTGTAATCCTGTGCTTTGGGAGGCCGAGATGAGTGGATTGCTTGAGCCCGCGGGTTCGAGACCCGCCTGGGCAACTTGATGAGACCTCATCTCTACAATAAACAAAAAAAACTAGCCGGCCATGGTAGCGCGCACCTGTAGTTCCAGCTAACTTGGAAGGCTGAGGCGGAAGGATCGCCGGAGCCCAGCAGGTCGAGGCTGCAGTGGCCGGGAGTGGCCACTGCACTCCAATCTGGGCGACAGAGTGAGACTCCAACTCAAAAAAAAAAATACAAGTTCTTTGTTGTATGCTGTAGTTTTCTTTGTCCTTGAGTTAGAAATTTCTTAGTATTCAGGTTAAGTTTCTTTTTCTTTTCTTTTATACTGACCTTGTCTATTCTCAAAGAAAATCAAGATTGTAACTTTATACTTTAATATATAAAGATAATTCTGGATTTTTTGAGATTTGTTGTTTTGTTTAATTTATGTAATAGTGATTTTGTACTGATCATCCACATCCTCTTTTGTGCATTAATGAGATGATTTAGCATGGTTAGAGATATAACAAGTAAACTCTTTATCCTCTCGTCTGCTATCTTTTTCTTATTTTTATCAGTTGACACCATTTATTGAGACCCCACTGTTATGTCAGACTGTATCAGTTGCTGTCTGAAGATTTTCCCAAGGCTAAATTCAATGAGGACTTTTTTACTGAATATTTCTTATTTGCTCCCTTAGGAACTGAAGGAAGTAAAATAAGTTCATCTTTGTATTACTCTTATGAAAAATTGCTCAGAATCTAGTTTCTCTAAAAAAAACTTTGGAAACCGGGCTCGGTGTCTCAGCCTGTAATCCCGCACCTTTGGGAGGCTGAGGTGAGTGAATTGCCTGAGCCCGTGGGTTCGAGACCCGCCCGGGCAGCGAGACCTCATCTCTACAATAAATCAAAAAATCAGCCGGGCGTGGTAGCGCGCGCCTGTAATTCCGGCTACTCGGAAGGCTGAGGCAGAAGGATCACCGGAGCCCAGCAGGTCGAGGCTGCGGTGGCCGGGAGCGGCCACTGCACTCCAGTCTGGGTGACAGAGTGAGACTCCAACTCAAAAAAAAAAAAAAAAAAACTGTAAATTTAGTCTCCTGTAACCTATGCATCTTTGCTTTATATGTTTATCAAAGAAAACCCTAAACAAGCCACTTAATTTTAAAAGATACTATAAAGCCTTAAATTGACAGCAGGAACCACTGGCCTATTGTCTCGCTATAGTATTCTTGATCAGTGATGATTGGTTTGCAGAATAACTTTAGTTGGATTCTTCTTTGCCGTGTGTAATGTTGTTTTCTCAAGTTACCATCCTCCCATCCTCATCCCTTAAATTGCTCTTCTACTCCAAACAAATGGGGATTCTTACATTTATTAATAAATCTTTTTTATTCTCTCATATCCTGCTTTAATCAAGGCTTACCATCTACCAGGTGTTTGGTTATGGTCTCAACTGAAATACCTCTTTGTCGGGCTCAGGGACTCAACTTGTAATCACAGCACTTTGGGAGGCCAAGGCGAGTGGATTGCCTGAGCCCTCAGACTCGAGACCAGCCCCAGCAACTCAGCGAGACTGTGTAGTTCCCTTTGGGGAACTTCAACTCATAGCCTATCTTGATGTCTCCTCCTTCACCCTGACTGAGACAATTCAGTGTAATCCCAGCACTTTGGGAGGCTGAGCCCAGGGATTCGAGACCAGCCTAGGCAACTTGGTGAGACCTCATCTCTACAATCCATCAAAAAATTAGCCAGGCATGGTGGTACAAGCCTGTAGTTCCAGCTACTTGGAAGGCTGAGATTGAAGGATCGCCTGAGACCAGCAGGTTGAGGCTGCTGGTCTTTAAGTCCAACAGGTCAACGTTGGGGTGGCCATGAGTGTGCCATGGCACTCCAGCCTGGGCAAAGGAGTGAGACTCCAACTCAAAAAAAAAAAAACTTTAAACAAGTAAGCGGTTTACTTTTCTTCAGGGTTCTTAATTCTGAGGGTATTTTTTGAAAATGTAATTTTTAGATTGAGACATTTGCTTTCTCCTATATCAACAAGCTTTAATAATCCTGAAAAAAATGCCTAAGAAACTTAGTCATTTTATTTTATTATACTTTTTTTTTTTTAATCAGTCTCACTCTGTTGCCCAGGCTGGAGTGCAGTGGCATGCTCACAGCTATCGCAGTCTCAACCTACTGGGCTCAGATGATCCTTCCGCCTCATCCTTCCAAGTAGCTGCAACTACAGGCACAAGCCTGGCTAATTTTTTAAATTTACTGTAGAGATGAGGGTCTTACCAAGTTGTCCAGGCTGGTCTCAAACCCATGGGCTCAAGGCAGTCCTCTCACCTCAGCCTCCCAAAGTGCTGGGATTATAGCCATGAGCCACCATGCCTGGTCAGTTTTATTTATTTATTCACTGTAGAGATGAGGTCTCGCCATGTTGCCCAGGCTGGTCTCGAACCCCTGGGCTCAGCCAGTCCTCTCACCTCCACCTCCCAAAGTGCTGGGATTACAGATGTGAGCCACCGTGCCCGGCCAATATATTATACTTTTAAGAGTGCGTTAAGGTTCTTTGATAGCGTAGATTTTCTAATTTATTTCATCTTGGATTTCTTTGGTATTACCAAATAGAAGGTACTAATAAAAACAAAGACTGTTAGTCTGGTTAAGTAGTGGGCATTTATAAATCTCTCTTCCTTACAAATAATTTTTTAGGGTTGACTGCTGTAAAATTTCGAAATGTTGAATTTTGAAAGGAAAAGTTTTATTTAACATGACTCATAATTTGTCATTTGTGCTGAGAAACTGGCATATTTTTAGTCTGTTTCTTTGTCTTGTGAGGTACTTTTATGAACACACCCATTGGAAACTTCCAACTACCCTTCCTATTAAGCAAACAATACATTTCTTGTACTTACTTATAACTTTAACTCTCAAACCCTGCACTTATGTGGATTCTATGTATATGAGGATTACTATACCACTCTAGATTACCCTATTGGGCAAAGTCCCTTCCACAGTAAACCTAGTCTGGTTCCCTTCATTGGGTTTACTTAACCCATATGGGAAAATAGCCCACCACATTCTTTGGGACCTCAACCTGTCTTAAGACCAGAGTCCTATCTTTTATCATTACATAGTCACATTTTTTTGTCCTGTTTTTGTGATTTTAAGCTTTAGTACCAACTTGTGTGTGTGTGTGTGTGTGTGTGTGTGTGTGTGTGTGTGTGTGTATGTGTGTAAAAACAAGCATGAGTCACCACACCCAGCACCAACTTATCTGAGATATATACATACATACATACGTATATATATGCATGTTTTTTAATTATAATTTTTTTAATCATAGTCTCACTCAAGTACAGAGGCACAATCATGACTCACTGCAGCCCCAACCTCCTGGACTCAGGATCCTTCCACCTCAGCCTCCTGAGTAGTTGGAACTATAAACATGAATCACCACATCCAGCTAATTTTTTAATTTTTTTTTTTAATAGAGACAAAGTCTCACTATGTTGCCTAACCTAGTCTCAACAGTCCTCTCAGCTGGCTCAGTCAGTCCTCTCGTCTTGACCTCCCAATGTGCTGGGATTACAGGCATGAGTCATCACACCCAGCCCCAACTTATCTGATATTAATATTGCTACTTTTGCTTTCTTTTTGTTGGTATGTTCATAGAATCTTAGTGTCCCTTTTATTTAGTTGATATTTTGTTTTAATTATATTTTTTGTTAACAGGATATGCTGTTTTACTTATTTATTTATTTTTGAGCCAGCATCTCATTCTCACCCAGGCCAGAGTGCAGTGGCATACTCACATACTCACAGCCACTGCAGCCTAAACCTGCTGGTCTCAGGTGGTCCTTCCACCTCAGCCTTCCAAGTAGCTGGAACCACAGGTGCGAGCCACCACGCCCAGCTATAATTTTTTTATTTATTGTAGAGACAAGGTCTCACCATGTTGCTCCGGCTGATCTTGAACTCCTGAGCTCAGGCAATCCTCTTGCCTCTGACAAAGTACTGAGATTACAGGCATGAGTCATCATGCCCGGCTT